GCCAGCTCATGTGTTTTAATTGGGGATATCTTCTATGATTTCATGATTTAGATGTTCTTCCCAATTCCATGATTTGGGAATATTTTCCTAGATTTTCTTGTAGTTTTAAAAACGATTTTATTGTTACATCTATCCCTTTAATCCATCTAGAATACATGTTTAAATAAAGTGTGAGATGAGGATATAATTACTATTTTCCAATCATAGTGAATTGTCTAAATTCATATCTTTTGAATGTTAAGTTACTTGTCTCTCTCTCTGCTTATAGTATCAGCACAAACTGTTCTCAGATGTGTACAAAGACAGCTGGCTCAAGGAACACTGAGTCACTCTAATGTGGGATTAAAAGTGTGACAATGTCTGCAACAATGAAAATTACTAGACATGGTGATCCAGGCAGAGAATGAAGGAGACTCAAGTGGGGACATTGGCTATTTGGTCTCTACTTAAACAATTGCTAAACTCAATAATACATTAAAATCTCCATCAAGACATACACTTAATGGGAAAGAATAGATATTAAAAAATGAATAAATGTGTTTTCTAGGAATGAGGTTTGTGGGTTTTTTCCTTTTCTTCGTGGTTTTCTAAGTATCAACTTTTTTACTCTCCTAATCTTCTCCCTCCCAGTGGCTCTCACATGTGGCAGGGGAAGGGGACTGGGCAACCAGGCTCTGGTGGCTTTGTTCTCCAGCCCTCAGCTTCTCCATGACTTCTCTCTTTCTCCAGGCGGTTCTTCAAGGACATGCCACACAATGCACTTGACAAAAAGTCCAACTTCGAGCTCCTGGAGTAAGTCTTGAGACTGGCCCCTGCCTCTCCTCGCTTCTTGCTGCCCTACTTTTCCTACTCACCCCTACTTCACTCACCCCCAGACCAGAGCCAGGCAGGACCCATCTCCCCAGCCCTCGAGCCCTCTGACCTCTCCTGATTGGCCAGAATCCTGGGTTGAAGGAGAGGGGTGTCAAATGATGCTTTTCTTCTTCTTTTAGGAAGGAAGTAGGGCT